AGGGAGGGAGGAAAGAAAAGACCACAACAATTCACTGAACTTTCAGAAGGAGAGAATAAACCTAAGGTTACTGGAGATGGGTGGAGGGAGGGAGGGGGTTTGGGGAGGGACAGGTCAGGTAAAGGACATAAAGAAAAATCATGATTTGTAATAATGAATATGCTAATAATAATAAAAAATAATAAATTTTATAAAAAGATTCAGGTTCTGAGGAGCATATGTGTTCTCCATATCACCATCTCTTTATAATACAGACTGTGTGCCACTAAAAATAATATTTCATTTAAGTTTCACAAATATAACACCAAGTTCAATACTTGAATGATCAACACAGGTCTGAGACCAAATATGAAATTTAGAAATTAGCCTCAGCAAATAAAACGAGATTATCTATCGAATACTTTCTTGCAAATACATATACTCTTTTTAGTCACATTTCCTTAGTATCTATCTTGATCTGTGGCTTCTTCCTTCATCACAGGGGAATTTACTGTTCCAGTGGTCTCTTGTATTCCACAACTCAAGAAAAGCAAGGCACTGGCCTTTCCATCTCTCACTGCTAGTGGTAGGGTGAGGTGGGGTACAGGGTGGAATAGAGAATAGGAGGACAAAGACTATGAGAATTAGGTTGTACTAAAGCACTGAGGAGTAAATACGGGCATTCCACAGCAGGGAATAATATTTCTAGAATGCTTTCCTGAATGCTAGTCATTCAATGCTAGTTTTTGATGTTCTGATTAAACTATAATGTAACCCTTGACTAAACAAAGTATGATCAACACTTGTGAAACAAAATTTTTATCTGGGACTTTCTGTTCTTAATTAAGGGGAGCATCCTAGGAAGAAGTTTGTTAGTGTTGATCTCACACACCCACTCCTGACACCATCTCACCTGCAGAATATAGCGAATTTGCTGTTTTGTAAACTCTGACAATCCTTTAGGAATCAATGATTCAATATCTTCTGGCTGTAAGAAAGGAGAGGCTTATCCATTGAACAGATACACTTTAGTATTTTAATCTAAGAGTCAGCAGCCCACAGACTTGTGTAACGGGGCATATCTTTTTAGGGATATTAAAAGATTAATTCACTTTCTGAAGAATAGTTTTTATGAATTTCATTTCTAGCCTTATCAATTTTACTTTTAAAAATCGATTATCTTCAAAGTTCAGTGTATTATTGATTGTTGTATCTTTTTAATTTTATTTATTTATTTATTTTTTATTAGCTTCAAGAAGGGAGCAGAACTGAGGTTGCCAGGGTGTGAGGGCAGTGGGAAAGGGGGAGAAGAATGGGGAGAAAGGGAGGAATTGATAAAGGGCCATGAAAATCAATTATATTGCATAATGATGAATATAATAATTATCCTGGTATTGATATTCAATGCTGTATTGCACAGATATGTACAATCAACTATGTCCAAATTAAAAACAAAAATCGATTATATTACATACACCGTGGAAAGAACCCTGAATTCCAGGTATTTTAGAGAAAAGCTTTGGGCAACCAATCAAATGTTCCATTTCTATTTTTAAAAAGAGCAGTTTAAAAAGAAAATGGTCTGTTAATTCCATTAAACACTTTATTCAGTGTATTTTTTAACAACTGGAAGTTCTGTTGGGTGACAGATATAACATCTTAGAAACTGATTTTTTAAATAATGAAAACTTTGGGCAATAAAATAAAATTAAGGATGTTACAAGGTTTATTGAGGTTTACATAGAGCTGTGATGACTTCTGAAAGATTATGATGTTGCCACAGCAACACTGAAAAGCTTCAATTAGTTTTAAGTGGAAAGCTGAATTGAAGTAAATACTTCTTAAAGGCAATTTAGGACTTACTGAATTATTGTAATGAATGCAGGATACCAATACATTGGAAATAAAGATAAAAATTAACACAAAAGAGACCATTGTGCTTTTTATTGCATTGAAAACAGTTCTTTCTCTATTTGGTTACTTATTGCATTAAAGGCAATTATTAACAAAATGTTAATATATAATACAATTAATACTTAAAAACATTTTTACTTCAAGTTGCTGGCTATTTGGCATGGCAAATGCAAGGTTTTGAGGCATATTAAAAACAAATATGCTACTTATCTGTTTTATCATGTAGATTTCAGTTTTCTAAAGCAGAGAGTACTTGTCAATGAAACTTTAAATGTTCTTATAAGCAAAGACAAATTAAATTATAAAGTTACAGGTGATAAAATATTTTTGTGAATGATTATTACTTTTATAGCCATTACAAAGATGTATCATTTTAAAGGCAAAATGATCATTATGCCGTTCAGTAACCTGTGTTTCCTGCCTCATAAAGGTATCAAATTAGTGCAAATATCAAGAATCTACTTTATTTATGATATTTGATTTTCAGCTATTTTTGTACTTACCTCATCTGTAGACTCAAAGTCCTGTTTGCTGCAAGAATGAAAAAAAAAGATAAACAACCTTAGGAAAGTGTATTCACTGATCATATATAAATGTTATTGTTCTATTAATTTTATTTTACTTTTTGATATATCATAATAGCACTGATTCAATTTATAATCACAAATGGAAATTTTAAAACTAACTAAAATGGCACTTTTAGTTAGTTTGCCTAAAATAGTTTTCCTGGAATTTGCTGATCTATTAGAAATTAACATCTGAAAAACAAAACAATAAAATACGCAGAATTGATTAGTACCATCCAATTAGCACCAGTCCATTCTTGGATAGATGTAGAAGTCCTCGGTGCTCGGCAATAAATAGTACCTGGGTGAATAAATACAATAGTTTCTCCTTCTCCACGGTTTTGTTTTCCGTGGTTTCAGTTACTTGTGGTCAACTATGGCCTGAAAATATTACATGGAAAATTCCAGAAATAAACAATTCACAAGTTTTAAATCACGTGCCATTCTGACACTGTTTTGCTCCTTTCTGCCTGGGATATAAATCATCCCTTTGTCTAGTATCTCCATGCTGTATATGCCACCTGCACGCCAGCCACTTACTAGCCATCTAGGTTATCACTTACTAGCTGTCTTGGTTATCAGATCAACTGTTGAGGTTGCTTGCGCAAGTGACCCTTATTTTACTTCACAATGGCCCCAAGCGCAAGAGGAGTGCTTCTGGCAATTTGGATGTGCCAAAGAGAAGCCATAAAAGTGAAAATGAGAAAGTTTTTCATAGGTATGTTTGTACAGTATAGGACAAAACATAGTATATGTAGAGCTCGGTACTGTCCATGGTTTCAGGCATCCACCTGGGGGCTTGAAACGTAACTCCTATGTATAAGGGAGGACTAATGTAATTGGTTTTTTCTCTCTATTTTCACCTCCTTTTTTCTCCATCTTGCATTGCTCCCTTTTGGTGCTGATTCCAGCTTCTCTCTACAGTGTTTTCAAGTTCTTCAAACCCTGTTTATCAAAATTAAAACTTGCAAGACAAGACTAACTCATTAAATCTATACTAGAGTATATATGACAGTGATGAGGCTTGAAAGGTACTTAAATCTTTATATAGGGACAAGGGCTTAAGCAAAATGACCAAAATTCTAGTGGGATAATATAATTTCCAGCATCAAAATAAGGGTTTTGGCCAGGGAGGTTGAAAGGCCCTCTGTGGGGCCATGTTAGGTAGGTAAATGTTGCAGGAGAACTGTTAGTGGTTGTATTAGACTGGCACGTGCTCCTTTGGGAATGGTGAAAACTGGAAAGGATAGATTTCTAGGATTTTTGGAGGCAACAGACAGACCTTTATTTTTACCTGTTTGCTCACTCTGCACTTGGCAGAAGAATTGAGCCCAAAATACACATGGTGAAAGTACTTTTCAAGCAAAAAACCAGAACACATGTTCTGATAGCAAGACAGAATATTTTAAAGTAAGATAGTTTGAGTACAATAGTTCCTACCTTTACCTTCTAAGTAATTGCTTATGAGTAATATATTGTTACAAGGATAAGCAGGCCACTCACTGTGCAAAACCTCTTGCACACATTTATAAAAATATAAAGCTGGCGTGGAGAAAGAGAACTGAAGGTTCCATTTCCCAAGGCATGACTATATATGTGTAGTTGTCTGCATGTGTGTATGTGGTATTGCCTGTTTTGCTCAAAATAGAATTGCAGGGAGGCTCTAGCAAAAGATGAAATACATTCTAGTTTTTAAAATGTTTTACCAAAGTAACAACACATATATATTCAAAGCTAAAGCAAATTAAAAACATGAATCACAGTGGGATTTTAGTATCTTTGTATTGATGGAATTGTGATAGTATTAATAACCTTTTAATTAATAGAAAGAATTAATAGAATTAGTAGAAAGAATAGTATTTCTTTCCCCCAATTCCAATCTCCCATTAACATATCCCTAGTCAGTTAATTTTTTCTATAAATAAGTGAACAAAACAAGGAGTAGCAATCAATTGTGTTTAATACTGGAATTTTAAAAAGTAGCCAGAATGGTTTCTTAAGACAACCTTCTGTAATTCTGACCCTGCAGTCCACTCATTGCTGAACTGCATTTTGGAAAGAGAAGAAAAGTGGAGACAAAAGGACAGAAAAGAGGTAGAAAGTGAAAACAGAGCAGATCGGAGAGGTGAAAAGGTCAGTTTGGATTATATCTCCATTCAGCACTGGGGGATGGTGGCTCGAGTTACATTAGGCAGAAAAAAAAAAATAGAGTGACGCTCACTATATGCCATTTCGCCTCCTAGGAAGGAAGGAATGTATAATGAGGGGGAAAAAAAGAAAGAAAGGAGGGAGAGAGGAAGGAAGGGATGAAGAGAAAAAAACTGACAACCTTCTCATAAACAGATATGTGAGCACCCACATTTTATAAGACCTTATCTATTCTGGAGTGTTTATTAATGTGGAGGTACTAACTCTCTTTCTTTTCTTTTTTAGGAATTAAAGCCAAGACTTTTCAGTGCTTAATTACATATTTAGGTCACCCGTGTGTATATATCAAAACTCCTCAATGAGAGGAAGTTCTTTCAAAGCCCTGGATTACACCTTTACTGGGATGATCATTATGAAATATTTTAACTTCCTTTGCTCAGTTACTTCCTCTACTTCTAATTAGCATGAGACATTAACTTTGGAATATATTTAACTCTCACTCTATAAAACTTTATTGAGTAGTAGCTACTCTGCCAAGGCCATGTACTCTGAACAGTTGTTGAGCAATGCAAAATACAAATATCCTGTCCTATACTTCATACAACTTAATTGTTCTGAGGCAAAATATGAACAATGTAAAATCAGTCTAAAACCTGTCTCCTTTTCAAATTTAATGATTTAGATGACCAATAACTCTCTCAATTTATCTGCAGTATTTTAAACAATTTGCCTGACATTGCACATCTTGTATTGAAAGGTTAAGTGATTTGCCTAAGGAAAGAGGTTCTTAGAATATTGATTCTAATCCCAGGTTTTGCTACTTTTTGAGCTTTAGGTTAGTGGTTCTCAGACTTTACCATGTATCAGAATCCTGTGGAAGGCTTGTTGCTAATCTGCACCCATGAAGTTTCTGATTCTGTAGGTCTATTTCCAATTTCTCACATGATGCTGATGCTAAGTACATGTCTTAACTCATTTACTGCTTATAACAAAACTATGAGATAAGTATTATTATAATCATTATTTTACAAATGAAGAAACTGAGTCACAGAGAGGTTAAACGAGTTGCCTGGTATTATACATCTAGTATGTAACAAAAGCTAGGACATGAATCCAAGATGTCTGGATTAAGAATCAGGGTACTTAAAACCATGTCTCTGGGCCGGCCCCGTGGCTCACTCAGGAGAGTGCGGCGCTGGGAACGCTAAGGCCACGGGTTCGGATCCTATATAGGAAAGGCAGGTGCACTCACTGGCTGAGTGTGGCACGAGCGACACCACGCCAAGGGTTACGATCCCCTTACCATTCACAAAAAAAAAACAAAAACAAAAGCAAAACCCATGTCTCTATATACCTCTTGATTTTACAATGTGATACTTTGATAGAAATATTCACAGGGCATGATTAATGCCCAGAAGAGTAAAACCTACACCAAACTGAAGATCTAGGGAAGGCTTTGCAGAAAAGCAAATGATAGTTTACAGATGAAAGTATTCAAAAATGTTTGAATCAATCTCAAGCACTTAGTGGTGTGATCTTAAGTTAATAACTATTCTCTTGGGGTCTCCATCTGAAACTTTGTAGGGTTATTGTGAAAATTACATATTATAGATAAAGCACTTAACACAGTGCACATAGTGGAAACTCAATAAAAAATTAGCTATTGAAAGGAGATTTTAAGGTAGTAAACTTGTGCAAAGAGGTGAATGTGTGAAACAGTTGTTTGGGTAAAGGGAGAGAGGGAGAATCTTTTGAGTAATGGGTAATGGGAGAAGGTGTTTACTAGGATAAACCAATGAGGAAGGCCTAGCTGAAGATGAAAATTGTGCATTCAAATAAATCAACTACATGGGTGTAGCAGCAAAGAAGGCATTCATTCATTCTACAAATATTTATTGAGCACCACATTAAACCAATCACCACGCTGAGCACCAAGGACACCAGGGTAAATAAAACAGCATGGATCCTTCTGAATTCTAGGGATAATGTGGGTTGGGTGTTAGATGGAGGAGGTAGTGGCAATAAATAAAACAGAGAGATAGACTGATCTAGAGTTGGAATTTTGCTATGTGGAAGGGATAGTTAATAAGGAAGCAAAGCAGTTGAGGGTGATGGTGACAGAATACTTGCAGTTGTGAATATGAAAGCAAGAAAAGTCAGAAGGCAGGGAGCTAATAAATAGAGAGAAAATAGATGGACAAGAGGTTAAGAGAGAATACATTCCAGGCACTAAAAACATTATTGACATGGAAAAACTCATACTATATATTTTTGAGTGAAAAGGTGTACAAAATAGTATATATGGTGTCATCCCGTATATGTAAGCCTATATATTATATAAAGTTGTATATTATTTTTAAGAGATCTAAGAAGCAGAAGAATCTAGTTAGTGAAAAGTCTGAATTGAAAAAAATTCTATTGGCTTTCCTTTATCTTCCAGATTATTCTAAATTTGTGGAGCTTTCCTAGATTTTGCCTGATAGATGACCACATATACATCTTGACTATACAGTAGAAGGCAACTTTTAGGGTGCAGCTTATATAATTCATTTTATGACATAATATTCCCTCATCTACACATGAATGATTAATTATTGTGTATATATTTAAATATATATAATTACATATTATTTTATGTTATTATATAACATATATTTACATTAATTTATAAATAGATGTTTATATAATTTATATATTATATCTAATATATGATAGTAATATAATATGTGAAGTTTATAAATAATATATAACATATTAAATATATATTAGACTCTAGCTTTTATATGTTGAGCACACATCAGTGGAAGATAAACAGTGATGTGTTGGCAGTGAGACTGTACCTTATATCATGAGCCTAATGTCTTAAAACAACTCATAGTATGCCATGCATTTTCTGAGCTTCGTGCCCAAGTGGTTGCTTTTGCCATCAAAATACATTACAAAAGAAGATGCATAGAATTCTTTACTGATCCTTAAAGGGCTTATGTGATCTTTGATGATTTTCATAAACTACATTAAGTCTTAAAATGAGACATTTGCTCGGATCTGCTTATATAGTTGCCTTGTTATCCCAATTAAAAGTACTAGAGTTTTGTTGTGAACATACAACTGTTGTTAAAATAAAAAAATACTAGAATATTATAAAATGTTTGATAGCTACAACATCAAAGTAAATAATACATTTACAGTACCTTCCTCCAATTCTCTGCAAATGTTCTAATAAACAGTGATATAGATCCGTATTCTTACGGCTTAGATCAGCAAGCAATTCTCCAAAATATTTGGGGTCCAATTTTTCAGGTCCATCATTCTGAATTATCACCTGAAGTGAACATTAATCACAGTTATAAACAATATTAAGTTTTTCTAAGTTCACGGATTTTTTTACATGAAATGAAATGAAAGTAAAATATCTTATTGAAGTCATCACATGAATCAAGCCACTAAATTCTCCTTGTATACATTTTTCAATGTTGGAGAAATTTAAAGAAAAATCAACATTGCAACAGTATTTTCAGTTTCATTTCACTCAAGTCTAAATGATCTAATAATGAATGCAAAACTTTAATAGCATATGGAAATTCTGGAATATGGTATTTAAAACAGTGAAACAAGTAAATCAAAATCTCTGATTTTCCCATTATCACCACGTGGCTTGCTCATCTGTCTCCTGTAGAGGAAAAATATGTGAATTATTTGAATTATACTGACTATAGAAGAATTACTTTCATTTGGACTTACATATTTTCAGTGAAAGCCTGCTTGATTTATTAGCATATCTTAAAGTTAGATTAAATAGACTTGTTTGATTTAAAGTGTTTTTATGTATTTCTTGTTGAACTCCATCCATTTATTATCTGGACTGAATCAGACATTGGAAAGAATATCTAAGGCCAAGTGTAGAAAATTCATAACCTCAGAGACATCTGAGATCCTAGGCACATATTATTATGAATATTGCCCTAAAGAAGACATATTCTGGTGGCTTCATAACCTTTGGTACCAATCTTTTCAATATTGTTGACTACCTTGGGAGCATCCTCAAGACACACTGCCAGGAGGATAATAACTTACATTGCACTCCGCATTACCTTTGCTATTGTGTGGGGAACAAGATGCCCTAAAAACACATTAATTCCTAAGTATACAGACGATAAGTGGACTTCAAATTTGACCACTGATACTTCTTTTTCAGCCTGTCCTCTGAATGCAGATCCTAAAAGATCATGCATGCTGAGGCAAATAAAAAGATTGCAAAGTAAGTAAAGATGAGCTTTCATAATCACGTCTGTGACATGAAAAACAGTTTACAAAATGTTGTTCAGTGAAAAAAAGCAGGATATAAAATACGGTGAAATCTGTTACATCTTTATTAAGGGATATATATTCACATTTTTAAAAGTATGGATAAATACACTGCAATGTTAGTTATCTTGTCTATGAACGCTTTGAAGTTGCTTTCTTAAGGAGGTTGGGATTATCTCCTAAATAAAGTCTCCTATATGAAGGCAAGTCAATATCATCACATAGTATGTTTAAATCTCACAGAATTAACAAGTAGTGCATAAATAGATATAGATAATATGTGAAAATAGATATAGATCCATATATCTCTATGTATTCAAAATAAAATCTTTAAATGCATACACATAGTTACACTTTCTATTTCCCAATATGTTTTTTGCTCCAGTCATAGTACATTTCACTGTCGTTCGCACACACCATGCCCTTCCTGCCTCTGGGTGTTTACTCACCCAGATTGGATCTCTCACTTTGTAGTTGTGGGTTAAGTAAATTGCTTATCTTCTCTGAACCCCAGTTTCCTCAACTGCAAAATGTAGGTAACTTAGTACCTATTTTATAAAGTTGCTGGAGGTTCAAATGAAATTAAATAGGGGATAAAGTGCTTCATAAATTGTTAAACCATCATGCAAATAATGGTTTTATTTAATTTAAGGCATATGGACAATTTGCTATTAGAATAATGACACAAGGAGTGGAAGACAATTGTTAAATTTTCTATAAGACTCTCAGCTGCTTGAGAGTAAAGATATTGTCTTTAACATTCTATGCTCTTGGATTGGAAGAATCAACATTGTGAAAATGTCCATACCACCCAAAGTGATCTACAGATTCAATGCAATTCCCCCCAAAATACCAATGATATTCCTCACAGAAATAGAAAAAAACAATCCTAACATTCATATAGAACAACCAAAGACTCTGAATAGCCAAAGCAATCCTGAGCAAAAAAAATAAAGTTGTAGGCATTATACTACTTGACTTCAAATTATGTCAGAAAGCTATAGTAACCAAAACAGCATGGTACTGGCATAGAAACAGACACTCGGACCAATGAAACAGAATTGAAATCAACCCACATACTTACAGCCAACAAAGATACCAAGGACACACACTGGGGTGTAGAATTCTCTTCAATAAATGGTGCTGAGTAAACTGGACATCCACATGTTGGAGAATGAAACTAGACCCGTACCTCTCACCATATATCAAAATCAACTCAAAATGGATTTAAAGACTTAAATATAAGACCTGAAACTATGAAACTCCTAAATGAAATCATAGAATAAACACTTCAGGAAGTAAGACTGGGCAAAGACTTTATGAATAAGACCCCAAAAGCACAGGCAACAAAAGAAAACATAAACAAATGGGATTATATCAAACTCAAAAGCTTTTGCACCACAAAAGAAGCAATTAACAAAGCAAAAATACAACCTATAGAATGGGAGAAAATATTTTCAAACTATGCATCAGACACGGATTAATATCCAGAATATACGAGGAATGCAAACAGCAGCAAAAAAAGTAACCCCATTAAAAAACGGGGAAAGGAGCTGAATAGGCATTTCTCAAAGAAAATATACAAATGGCCAACAGACACATGAAAAAATGCTCAACATCACTAAGCATCATCTCAACCCAGTTAGACTGGCTATTATCAAAATGACAGAAAATAACAAATGCTGGCAAGGATTCAGAAAAAGGGAAACCCTCCTACAAAAATTGAGGGACTGTAAATTAGTGCAGCCATTATGGAAAACAGTATGGAGCTTCCTCAAACAACTATAGATAGAACTGCCATATGAACCAGCAATCCCACTGCTGGATATACACCCAAAGGAATGGAAATCATCATATCGAAGAGGTACCTGCACTCCCATGTTTATCACAGCTCTATTTACAATAGCAAGAGTTGGATCTAACCTAAATGTCCATCGTCAAATGATGGGGTAAGGAAAATGTGGTATATATACTCCATGAAATACTACCTCACAATAAAAAAGAATTTCATTCTGTCATTCATAGCAACATGGATGAACTTAGAGAAAATTACGTTAAGTGAAATAAACCAGACACAGAAGGAGAAATACCACATGTCCTCACTCATAAATGGGAGCTAAAAAATAAATAAATAGATAAATAAGAGAAAGGAAAAGAAAGAAAGAACAATCACAATATGTTGAACTTTCAAAAAAAAAAAGAATTGTGGTTATTACAGATGGGAAAGGGGGATGTGAACGGGGGTTAGCAAGAAATTGGTTGAGGGTCGCAAAGACTGATTGCATTTTGTAAACATTAGTATAATAATTATCCTGATTTGATCACTACAAACTGTACACAGATATTGATATTCAAATCTGTAACCCACAAATATGTATATGTTTCAATAAAAAAATGTTAAAAAGAAAGAAAGATACAACAATCACAATAATTCGTTGAACTTTCAAAGGGAGAGAACAGAACTGAGACCATTAGAGGCGGGAAAGGGGAGGAAGATGGGGAGGTTAAGGAGGAATTGTAAAGGGCCCCCCAAAATGATTACATTGTGTCATGTTGAATATACTAATTATCCTGATTTGCACATCACATATTGCACACATGTATTGATATTCAACACTGCACCCCACAGATATATACAATCGTTTCAATAAATAAATAAATAAAATAAGAGGAGCCTTCATATTGCTTACAAATGCTTTGTGGCCATTGTTATAGGAATTATACGAGAGTCTGAAAGAAGAGAAGCCTCACATGGCACCTATTCTCTTATCACTCATCACTGAAGATTATAATATAGGAGACTATCCCTCCTCTGTGTTGTGCACGGTCCAATGGAACACAAGACTGGAGAGAACAAAGACTTGGATATAGGTTGATTTTTTCAGCTCCTACACTCTCCACTCCTTGGAACTCTTGCCTTCTTTTTTGATTTTTCAAGAACAAGAAGAGACCAGAGATACCAAGACCGTAGATGGGACTTTAGAAAACTACTTTTCCAGGTTTACCAATGCTTTGTGGCAAGGTATGGATAAGGTAGTAGATGAGTTATTCTATGACTTTTGACATATTTAGTTTACTTAAAGATGAATGGTAAGTTGTCTGTCCACTATTAGACTTTAAGATCACTAAGGACAGAGACTATATCTGTTTTACTCATCATTTTATTCCTATCATCTCAAATAGTGCCTGGAACATAATGGACGATCAGCAAATACCTGTTGAATGAAGCCAGAAAAGAGTTGCACTCACAGTATACGTAATTATTTGAGTCTTTCTTATATTCACTACCTGTATGACAACTTGTAAAATGAGTTCAGCCAAGCTTTTCCCTACCACTAACGTGTGAAATTATCTGTTCCTTGCTAATGTCAGGAAAATGATCAAAGTATGTTATTCTTAATTTCTTCAGTGAAGGATATGTAACTAGTAATATTTTGAGTTTGAAACCAAAATGATGATGTTGCTAGGGAGGACCATGGAAAACATACATAAATTAGTTCTATAAAAAAAAGTATTGTGAAGCCAGGTTTTTGGACATCTGATTTTGAAAAATATTTTAATGCCTTTTGCTTTGGGAAAAGCACTTTAAAGGTAATTTAGTTTCATCCGGAAATAGTATTACATGGAACTGATTTTGTATATTGATGCTTTGAAACATTTGGGGTCTGGGGTTGGGGTGTAAGAAGGTCAAGAATCAAACATTCATTTGAGCATCTACTGTGTGCTTGGCACTAAGATAGGTAGTTTACATATTTCATTTCATTTAATCCTCTTGTAGGATATACTGTAAATTAAAGTATTATTCTTCCCCTTTTATAGATGAAACTGAGGTTCAGTCCAGTTAACTCAACTTCTGAAGGTCATGCTGCTCAGCAAAATAAAGTTTTATAAACTCAGATAATTGAATTGAAAGCCTGTGCCTTTTCACTTTACCATGCTACCTCCAAATTACAATTTAACTCTAGACACGAACTCTAAAAATGGTCCAAACTATAGTTTTAAATGAGCCTAAATTATGTCTGCTCTATTACCCTTTAAAGAGACTCTTCCAAACACATGTCACAACTCCAGGGGACATGTAAACACCAAGGAGCCCAGGTGAGAAAACTCTCTCTCTGCCCTTCCTTGTCCATGGGATCTGCACAACCAGGTTACTCTGAGCGGGAATAGATCCAATCCTATGTAATCCATACAAGTGGAATTACTAACTGTAAACTTCCTAGGGCACTATTCTATTTTCAGCAGCACCTAAAGTTTATCCTCATAAAATATTGAAAAAGCAGAAAAACTGTATCTATACAAAAAGCTTCCAGCCATTAAAAAAGCTACATAGGAATCTCAAACTGCAGTATGAATAATAAAATAGAAAGTAATATATTGGTTATCTACCCATGCCCATTTTCTAAGTAAGAAATACATAGTCTGGTCAAATACATTATCAGATGTATTAAGCTAGTGAACAGATATTATAAGTTTACTATTGTCACTGGGTACAATTCTTAATCCTGTAATATTGTTCCTTTCTCTGATAATTGTCCCTCACACCATTCCTACTGTCATTGTTCTAGTGTAAGTTTCATACGTAGACTACCGAAACAGGTTCTTATAGCCTTCTCTGCACTAATCTTTCTCCTGGCAATTTTTTTCATGTTGTACACTTTCTAGTTTATGAAAAATTTTCAGCATATATTTCCATTGTGTCTTTACCTCAACCCTGTGAGTTAGACATTACTACCCAAATTTTATGGATGAGAATGTTACTGAGAGATTTAATATTATTAAGAACACATAGCTTAAACAGGACTGAGTCAGGATGGAGCCCAGGTTTTCCTATGCCAAAGTTAGTTCACTATCTGTTATATCACCAAAACCTCCCCAGTGACAGACTCCTCTTAATCTAGTGTGCTCTATTCATGGTTACACTATTGATCAAGGACTCTCTACATACCTGACCCAAATTCAAGAGGAAACTATCGATGGACTCTGGAGTCAGGGAACTTATGGATGAATCCTGGCTCCACCAGATGCTAGCTGTGTAAGACTTTGCTAGTGACATAACTTCTTTGAACCTCAGTTTCTTTATCTGAACAATAAAGACAATCTTTCTATTCTGATCATTATGAGAAGAAAATTAATCAATATGCTAGTCTATCTTGTGCAAAGCTACTAGAGCTAATCCTGTAAAGCACACCTATCAGTATTTTCCTACTCAATAACCTTCAATCACTCTCCATTGCCTACTAAAGAAAGCCCAAAGTTTTTAACTTAACACTCAAGGATCTCATGACCTGCCTTAACATATCATGTTAACACTACACCCCAATACTCCTTATCACGTCTTCCATGCCATACAAATTAAACCACAAACTAGTCCTGGAACCCAAATTGTTTTTGCCCAAATCTATGACTTTGTTTGTGTGATTTCCTCTTCCTAGAGCATTGTCTTCCTGCAATACCACAATACCATATATAGAAATTCTACCCATTTTTCAAAGCCCAAGTCAATTCCCACCTACTCAACAAAGACTTCCTTGATCTCCCAGCTGAAATTAATTTCTTCTCTCCTCTGTTCTCAAAGCATGCTCTTTGTTCCTCTTTTATTACAGACAACACTTTACTTTGTATTATGTTTTATGTGCTTGCCACTTTTCCCTATTAGAGGAAACTACGGCAAAGCAAAATTAAGGATTAGACTAAATTGTGTGAAGTTGTTGATATTTGACCAATTTTGACCAATAAAAATTACAATTTCAAATGATTTAATCTAATAAAATGGCCTTCTATGGTCATTACTAATCCATTTAATGTAAGAAATTCAACACCCTAAGTATTGTGTTTTAGAGTTATTCTAGAAGTCAATATTTCCATGCAGATCCTCAGAGGGAAGACAATTTTAGGCTTTTTTTTTAATGGGAAAAACATGGATTTTAAATCTTTGGTTTTTTTTTTTTTTTTTTTTTTTGACCAATATGGCCAAAGTACATATTTCAAACTTTCAGTCCTTAGAAATAATCTCATGTATATTTAACATAAAATTATCAGATTCTTATGCAGGCAGGCTTCCTTATTTTTTCTTATTTTCTTTTGTCTTTTAGTAAGAGTTGCCTGTGAGAAAGGCCAATTTGAGAACTGAAAAAAATACAAATATGGCTGATTCCCCATTGTTGCAGTTATTATTGTTATTTTTACCAGGATACAAGAACATCTTTTTTCCTTTAACACTTGTTTAGCAGATGTTTACAAGATTCCAATGTCTTCATAACATAAAATTAGTCACTGAGGATTGTATCCCAGGAGATTTCTCCTTAGCAACTAAGTTGTAGTTTCTATTTTGTTGATGTAATATACAATAAAATATACGCATATTCTGACTTGAGTTAATATGATACATTCTCAAAGAAGACGTACAGGAAGTAATTCCAGCTTGTGAAATGTGACCATTACAATCATCTTAGATAATATTTCTAATTCATTTTTGATTTAAATGAAAATATTTAATGTTGCAAAACTGTTGGGCTGATTTTAGAAGCGAGGATCAGCTAAGAAATTAATCGGTTCATAACTTACCTCTAGATTTAAAGTATTAGTGCACCTGAATGGTTTTGTCTTCTGAGAAGAAATGGAAAAAAATGTTTTAAAAATGCTATCCCAAAACACAAATACCAGTGGCATAACTCCTCAATATTTTGATGAAAATTTAATGTGGGTACCTGTACAATGGTGTGAGAAGAGTTCATGAATGTTGTTTCAGTTTGACAATAAATCAGTTGATTGATCTCACCTGCTCATGTATCTGGTTTGATCCACCATGGCACAGTTCATTTCCAATGTTTGAAGAAATTGAATCACTTCCCATGATGGTTTGGATTTGCTGGCTAGGATGGGATTGTTGACAGTGTGAAGAGTGGATGATCTGAGGCTCTTGGACAATGTGATGATGGCACTGAACCTGAGGATAGCATTCCTGAAGCAAATACACATGTCAATAACAGTCACTGAGAATAAAAATTACTAATCAAGAAAAAAGTAACTGAAATCATTTTTAGAAATTTATGTGTTCTTCCACACAATAATTCAAACCCTAAGATTTAGTTTCAATTAATGATGTATTATGATTTCAAATTTTTCCATTGGGAAAATTTGTACTGAATTCTATTTTTATTTGATCAGGCAGCTGTGACCATACAAATACTTATCTAGATTGGCCAGGGAATGCATGCTCTGATTAAATTAATATTCCAGTTATACTGAACACTAAAACTATAATGAATATTAATATTATTTAATCTTTCTTTGATGATTCAACAGGCACTTCAGTATCCAATTATATAATAATACTATAATACTGAAGATGTAGGTGAATGTAAAATTAGAAAATAATATAATGTAGTGATTTTTAATGTCAGGAAGCATATTAGAGTCGCAGTGGGGGAGCAAAGTCCTTATGCTTAAGAAAATCGGGCATGAATTTAAAGAAAAGACTTAAAGCCAATGATTAAAGCTTCAGATCCAGAAAACATGGATTCTAACTCTGACTCTACCACTAGCTCTGTGATTTTGGGAAACTATATATGCGACAGTTATGAGCTTCAGTTTCCTCATTTGTAAAAGTGGGGGTAGAATATGTCTCGTTGCATTGCGAGGAATAAATGAACTAACGTTTGTAAATTGTCTAGTGTCATATATTTGTCAGCCTAGTACAAAGTAGGTAATAAACATTTATTATTATTATCATCATTACATCATCATCATCATCAAGCTTATCATCATCTACCCTACCAAATTTTCAGGTGGGGGGGAAGCCTGAGGCTCATTAAGATGGTTCTCATACTTATAATGACATGGCTAATTAATGGCAAAACTGAGACTGGAACTCATGATTTCTAGCTTATATTTCTTTCAGGATATTAGGCTGAATTTGTACTTACCTCAGGATATTCTGGAATATGTTGTTTTTAAACTAAATCTTTGCTCTCTGCCTGTTTGTCATGGCTTTTTTTTTCTAATAAGTACAGAGCACAGACTAAGAAAAGATATCTGAAGGTTTCAGGTATATCTGAATTTGCTATATTCTTTTGTTATTCTTCTACTTTGATAAGAGGCATCTGGAAGCCTATTTTCAAAGGAAAAAATACTCTATTTTGAATCAAATGCTACATTCCTGCACATAAAATTAACTTTGAAAGTATAAATTCAATGCTGTATTTTCTTTTGACTGTGGAAAGTTGATCTACATTAACATAGTAAAGCATTTCACTTTTTAAAATTTTTATATGAAATAATTTTCAAGCTACAGTAAATGAAAAGAAACCCAAAGTGCAGAAGAATGAATATAGCATGTTCTCTCTGGTGTAACATTTTTTAAAATGTACATATATATATTTACAAACATACACAACTGCTTTTATATGCATAGACCGAAAAACTTTTAGGAGTAGCTGCCTCTGGGAAGAGAAACTGGGGAAAACAAAGTCCATTATTTTTCACTGTATAACTTTTTTTTTACTTTTTAAATATTCTTTTTATTCTCTTTGAATATTTCTACCATGTATACAAATTACCTTTTCATGTATCCAAAAAATATTTTGAAAGAAAGAAAAAATATATAAAGAAGCACATTTTACAAATAGAAGTTGTCTTTGTAGACATATAGATAATAAAGGTCATAGAATCAATTCATGGAATCATTTTCCCTAGACTCTTTTCAAACACGACTCACTTAACAAGTATGCTAGCACTAAGATCTTTACAGATTAGGAAACTAACTCTATGCTATCAGCAAATTTGTACAAATTTGGGGGGTGAATGTATTATCTGTTATTTTATGTTATGAAATATTTTCATATACTGTATTAGGATAAAGTCACACTGACAGTCTTAGAAGACCACCATTCAGTGGGAAGCTTGTACACTATTGAAGTAGAATCTCTCCTGAAGGAAAAAAAAAAAGTTAAGAAAATACCTGGAAAGGACACAGCCACAGAAGGCAATAAAGAAAATAAAACCCATTTCTCGATCATCTTCCTTTGCTAATATATTAGTTGACTCTGGACTAGAACTCTGACATTTCCATCATCTGGGGTGCCTTGCAGTTTCCCTGACCCTATTTGGCTTCTGAACTATTCATTGGTAGCACAGAAGTCTTAGCAGGTTTTCAGTTTGCAGTTTTCGATTCTTACACCTGACTACAAAAAGTTCTAAAGCAAGATGTTCGTATATTAATCATACTTTTGGAGCATATCATAAACTGAATTTTCAAAGTACAAAAGATCAAACATTTCTGATTTATCATAGATTTTTTTCTCTTTGATAGAAAAAAAAGAATTATGCAGAATACAAATCATATGAATTCGGAATTATTTCGAAACTGGCACCATTTTACCACTCTTCCACTACAAAGACGTTTTTTTTCTTGGACTGGTCTCATCTCCTAAGAGCTAGTCCTATTTGATTTGGTCGCATGTGACAGTAAGCAGGTTCATTCAGACTCTGCTTTATACAGTTGTCCTAGCATATATCCATCACTGAGGAAACTCAGCTAGGGCAAAACAGTTTTAGTTTGTTCCATCTATGTGGTTTCTTTTATCTTGGGCAGCTTCCATGGCACTTCCAAACTCCCAAATTGTTTAAGTCATTAATAAGAAAAAGTGGGCATAAACAAGTAAACATTCAAGTTAACAGTAAGCAGCATCAGCGTTCTCTTAAAGGAGCTCTCTTCTTCCAGCTACATAGCAATAATAATGCACAGGATATTCAATCTTTTACTCTAGAGACCAAGAATTAGAAAAGCTGTTTATTTTCTTTGAAACAAGAAGCTGGAAGTAGCATGGAATGATGTGCCTCAAACATTCCTTACTATTTAAAATGTGTCAAACTTATTGTTTTAGCAGCTCAGTTGGATAAAGGACAGATGGTATAATTTGACAGCTTAAGGAAAATGTCCCTTGAAGAACAGAGAGTTGATTAAATGTTTCTACTTTGTATCATGTCCAGAAATATTATGCTGCTCCTCTGGAAAATATGCCTTCAATACAAACCATACCAAAACCTTCAGACTATATCTATCTTTCCAAGCAAACCAAAATCTTAAAGATTTGGATGTTTATGATTCTGTGAGTTTACTCCATTTCATTTTTACTTGGCTTCAAGTAAGCAATTTTATTTTTATGAGCACTTATAGGCAGTTGTTACCAGATTCAAGTGCTCATAAAAATAAAATGTGTTCTCATTCCAGGAAGTGTAAAAATAAATATCTAGTATATTTTAGTCAGTTTCATTTGTATCAGAGAAAAATTTGTTATCAAAATTTGATATTATTTAACTGCCTGTTATGGGTTGAATTGTAACACCCCCCACTGAAGATATGAAGTCATAATACCCAGTAACTCAGAATGTGACCTTATTTGAAAATAGGGTCTTTACAGAGGTAATCAAGTTAAAATGGAGTCATTAGGATAGGCTTTAATCTAATAACTGGTGTCCTTATGAAAATGGGAAATTTGAACACAGACATAGACATGTGCAGAGAGAAGACGATGTGAAGACATGCACGTGAAGACAGAGGATTGGAGAGATGCATCTATAAGCCAAGGAATGCCTGAGGCTACCAGAAGTTAGAAAACAGGCATGGGGGAACTCCTTCTCTAGCAGCTTCAGGGGGATCATGACCCTGACCACACAATGATTTCAGACTTCTGGCCACAGAACAGTGAGACAATACATTTCTGTCGTTTTAAATCACCCAGTTTGTGATACTTTGTACAGCAGCCCTAAGAAACTAACACACTCTCCTAGTTTAAGAACGTCCCAGAGACAAGTCCCAGGCTTTACCTGGGCTGGACATGCTTGTGCCTAGTGAGCAGAGCCATGTGAAACGTTTTTTGGTTACAGTAACAACTCTGCATGAAGGATTTGGATCTCTAGAGGCCATGGGATTACCACGGCCCTGTTGCAGTTTTGTATCTTGTACTTGGTCTCTCATTAAGCTTACTGGAATTTTTTAAATGGGGCTTGAAACTTTAGTTTTCTAGATCTTTTACAGTACATGGTATTTTACATATCTGTTTACATTAATTATTCATTTAAAATTCATTTATAGTAAATGAATTAGTAAAAATTATGTTTTAAATTATGACTTTTGTGAGATCAGTTTAAAAAGAAACATACAAGGCAGTCGGATATCTACATTAAGTTCAGATTCTACCATTAATTTTACATGTGAATTCACATATCTTGACTTCAGTTTCTCTTTCAGTAAAATGGAAACAATAATACTTCACATGAAAAAACAAATTTGAAAGTATTAAGAATGGCATGAAGGGCTGTGGACATAATAACATATTATTATAACTCATGGTGTCTTGCCTGGCACCTGACAATTGAATGTCATTTTATCTTTATTAAAATATTCATAATTCAAAATTATACACTTATAAAACAAGTTTTAAAACACATATTACTCACCTGATCCATATTTAGCTTCTCCACTTTTCTAATTGTTTTTTCATAAATGACATTGTTTCCTGGGATGAAATGGCTTCCTCTTAGGAATGGAGACAGTGGTTCCTATAGAGACAGTAAAGACTATGTTTTGCTTTGAAAAGTATCTTTTCAGAGAAACGTTAAGCAACTATCCAGTCTCTAATAGCCTCTGAGGTAGTGGCAGACTTTAGGAGGAGAGTGGAATGACATTCTAATAAGGTTTTAACAGATGTAAGGAAATAGTAATAAAGACAGTCCATTTTATCAAAGCAAACAATCCAGATTTCTCCTACAACATTTTACCAGGTCTAACAAAGTCTTTTGGGGAGAGTAGAAGAAGGAGGAAAGATTTTTTTTTTCTGTTCCTAAGGCAAGATATAATGAGTTCCATCAGAGGTAGACAAGCATGAGGTCAACCTCATTTAAACTGGGTTCACTGGCAGGTTTCTTTCTATGCAAAAGTGTTATCGGAGAAATGCGAAATAAACATAATTCAGCAATACAAAGATATAAAGTAAGCAGAGCTATACTAACTTATTTTTTCTGGAACTCAGTTTGGGTGCCCTTGAAGTGTACAATTGTTACTTGTGATTATAATCAAGGCTAAGACTGTCAGTACAACATATGTTTTGAATATTGAGAACAGAGTAGAGGCTTTAAGAGCCACTGTATCTCTGTATAATCAACTAAATTGCTGCAGGATTAGCCAAGTGCTTAGAAGATGTCAGTCAGCCAATGAAATAAAGGCTGGTGATGTGTCCAAGATCTGAAAGAAACCAGGGAAGGACTAATAAGAATCAGACCAAACGTCTAAAATAAACGTAATGTGCCCTATATCCTTTTCACCTCTTTTGGTTTGCATTTGAGTCTTTACTTGGGTAGGGAGAGCTGGGCTTGTTTGTTTGTTGTTTTGTTATAAAAAAAAAAAATTGTGTTCATCAGTTTTGTAATATAAGGGAACAGTACAGAAGGAGGGATGGCTAATCCTGTTACCAGTTAATGTATTTAGGACCATTTCAAAATCAACAAAATGAACCAGCATTTTTATAGTCTGTTATTGTACATACTCTTAGAACAACTGGACTAAAACACTGGTTGTTGAGAAGTCAAGACATTCTTGAACCAAAAACTAAATACCTCATATTCAAATTTGAATAAAAGGTGTTTTAAGTAAATATTCCTTGGATACTTTGGCAAAACAGATGTGCAAGTGACTAAATTTGACTAGTTGATGAATTATTAAGTCTAAAGATGGATATATTTAGAAAGATTCCCCTAGAAGCTATTTTGTGCTTGTTTGTTTTTATAAAAGGGCGTCTTTGGTATTCATTTGCCATTATGTAGCACATGTTTGAGTACTTGCTATACACAATGTACTTTGCTCAGTGCTATGAAGCATGCAAACATGAATCAGACTTATTACCAGGAGCATTTAATATTGAACAGGGTTCATCAAACTGTGGCAGACACCCTGTTATTGTACTGTCTTCAAGCTAATAATGGTATTTAGATTTTTAAAGCACTGTAAAAAAAAAAGAAAAGAAAAAGAAAGAAGAGGACTGATACCCTATATAGCCAGCAAATCCTAAAATATAAAATATTTACTCTCTGGCCCTTTACAGAAAAATTTTGCCAGTCCCTAGTCTAGGTAATATATGAACACAAACATCTGAAATACAAGGTTGCAAGTGACAAATGTCCATAGAAGTACAGAGAAAGAACATATAGGACAGAGTTCAGAAGAAGAAAAGTTGAATTTCATCTGACAGTGCTCAGGTAAGATACTTGGATCAGGTGGCATTTGAAAGAAGCTTAAGGTGGTCTCTGGATATGAGGAAATAGAAGAAAATTGTATTCCAAGTAATGGAAACAAAATAATTCAAGTCAACAGGTTTGGAAAAGTGTAAGTTGTGCATAGGGGACATACTTGGTAGATAGAGCTTGATTCCAAAGCAGTGAAAAGTCTTTAAGTGCTTTTAAACAGGGGTGTGAGATGAATGGAATTCTACTTCAGGAAGATTAATTAGAGAAGACAAAGAGTAAAGGTGAGGAGACCAGTTAGGACATAACCCTAATAATCAAGGACAGTACTTTTCAAAGATGACTCTGAGATTCTGAACTTGAGGAGTCTAGTACATGGCCAATGGTAACAAAAACAAAAACACTGAGATACATTGAGTTTTACATGCTCCTCATTAGAATCTAGGTCTGATTCATATTTTTATTCCTCATAATAAAACTTAGCAAAGTATATAGTGCACATTAATTCCTTTAACATATATTAGATGACTTCAAAGAACTACCAAAGATACCCTTTTACAAAAAAATGTACAGGTGGGCACTCAAGTATAGATGCCCAGCATGCAGTTGAAAACACAAGTCTGGAACTATGTGGGTGTGGGGGGGGGGTTCAAGACTGCATACATAGATTTCAGAACCACCTTCTTAGAAGTGCTAGTTAAGGGCCGGCCCGGTGGCGCACTGCTACAGTGCGCTGCTTGGGAGCGCGGTGGCGCTCCCGCCGAGGGTTCGGATCCCACATACAGACCGGTTCCCGCTCACTGGCTGAGCGAGGTGCGGGCGCAACACCGAGGGTTGCGATCCCGTTGCCGGTCCCGGTCCGGTACAGGCGCGACACTGAGGGTTGCGATCCGTTGCCGGACACGAAAAAAGACAAAAAGGAAAAAAAAAAAAAGAAGTGCTAGTTAAAATTATGCAACTGCTGAAAAGGCAAGTGAAGACCAATGACAGAACTAGACATGTCTTAAGAGGTCTGAGAATCAGAAGAGAAAAATATCATAGAAGTCAAGAGGAGGGAAATTTTCAGGGAGCAATAGGAGGTCGAAAGTATAAATGCTTCAGAGATGTCAGTAGGTGAGTATTACAAAGTGGATTGGATTTGGACTACTACAAATCTACTGGGTTTGGCTACTAAAATCAGTGGAAGTAGATATAATGGGGAAATATTTGTCGAGTCTAAAACCGTATTTTAGTTCTTCCTCCATCACTATGGAAACTTAGGAAGTCATAAACCTTCCCTGATGCTCAGTTTCTTTATTATAGGGATAGTAATGCAGGGTATTTTGTATCAAGTAAAATAATGTATTTTAAAGGAACCTTAATATGTAATTTTAAAGTACAAATTGCATTGGTTTTTAATAATAATAGTAATACAATATTTAAAATCCATACTGTATTTAAAATAATTTTTGAGAATCTCATTAGATCTTTTCTGGGATTTCAAGTTTAAGAATATATAGAAGTAGGCTTATTGAAAGCAGGGCCTTTATCCATCTTGAATACCCCATAGAGAATGAAAGAACAGATGATTTAGTGAGAAGGGGTGATATGGATGTTTATCTTAGGGATATAAGCACCTTCCCAGGGAGGGAAAACAAATTTAGCAAAAGCATGAAATTTTCTTCTCTGCGAACTAAAGTTCACTATAAATGCTGAACCATTATTTTTTTTAAAGATGAAATGTGGTTTAGGCACTAACAATATTGATTCTCTCGAGAATACATGTTGGTCTTATTATTTGAAATGACTTACTGAAAAAAAAACACCTCCAAATTTAGGGGACTATTATTTTCCCCAAATCTATAAGAAAGTAAAACCAAATATTAATATGAATAAATCACTGTGAGTGAAACAAGCCAGCAAAATAAATTTAATCAGAGTTTTTAGATTTCTCAACAAATGAACTGATAAGGCAGTTTAACTATTTTGGCAGGGTTTTTTGTTTTGTTTTTTTGTTTCAATCTGTATATTTGAATTGGTGCTGGATCCACCCTAAAAATTAACAGATGTTTTCAAAATGGCTGCCCTTATAATTTAATTGTTACTTTTAGAACCTCTGACAGTAGTTCTCACATCTAACAAAGTATGTAATCCCCAACATCTGCTGTACTGTTCCCGGACCACAAAGCCTTGCTGGAGAAAATTTTAAAAAAATAAAAATAAAAAACCTGATTTAGCTCATTACAAGTTCAAGTTATCCAACTTCAAGTAAGTACTCCAACCTTTGTGATCATACTTGCTTTCATCAAATTCTCTAGAACTATGGTTACAAATCTTTTCATTTTCCTCAACCCCCTGTGCTCATGCTCCCTCACTCTCCTTCGATTTATGGAGAAAACCAAGATAACCTAACCAATGGGATCTTTCCATTTTCCTCCACACCACAAAAATCTCTTCTCTCACAAAAAACGCCTTCCAGCTCATTAAGGAGAAAGATATACTCTTCTTTTTTCCTGAAGTCATTTCTGTATCTGTACCTGTAATCCTATCCCCTCTTTTCTTTTCCAGAGTCTTATCCCATGTGTCTCCTTTCTCTGTTGCATCTTTGGCTTTCCCTATTATTGGTTCTTTCCCTTTATCTGCAACTCTCCTAAGTCTCCAAGATTCTGTTTTCTCCTTTACTTACCATCCCATTTCTCCTTTCTTTAACCAATATCTTTTTCAAAAGAGTTATCCTCACTTATTTCCTCCACTTCCTTTTAATCTACTTACCCATTAACGTTTTGCACCTGAATTTTGCCTCCACAAGGATTCTGAAACTGCTCTCTCAAATATCACCTTCTTAACGGTCAAACCCTATGCTCAAACCTCATCCTCCAAGGCCTTTTGGTCATTTGAGATGGTTGACCTCTCCTTTCTCTATTTGCTTCAGTTACTCTGTGCCCAAATTCCTCTCTGACAACTTCTCTGCCTGTGAAAGTAACTCCTTTCTTCTGTTCCCTCACAGAAGGTATTTCTCAAGGTTCTGACCTCAACCCTTTCCATTACTCCTCAGTGATCTCACTTGTTTTCACAGCTTCAATGATAACTTTAAGGGGAGTAATTCCCGTGTCTCTATCTTAAGTGTGACCTTTCTCCAAGTCATTTCTAACTGCCTGTTGGGCATCTTCCTTCCATGTACCTCAAATGCTACTGGTTCTGACAGACCTCACAATCTTCCTCTTTTCCAAACCAGCTTATCCTCCCCCTCACTTCCTTTCTTTTTTTAAGACTAACCAGGAAGTGATTAGTGAGAAGGGGGAGAAAAGTAGAAGGAGTTCGATCCGTGACTGTCTGTGAACAATCAGTTGAGATAACTCACTACTTTTGGACCAGCCCCCTCACTTCTTAATCCTTTTAATTGTGCCACCACAATCCCAGTGTCTCAAGCTGGAAAGTTTAGGGACATATTTAACTTTTCTTCTTTTAAACTCCATATCAAATAATCTATCAAATCTTGTTAAAGATTACCCGCCCCCAGAAGAGCTGTCAGAAAAGACAGAGTGATGAATTTCAGTCAGAAGACCTGAGCAAGTCACACTTACTTAAACTAGTTTACTTATTAGTAAAAAGATGCTAATAACAATGTTAAAAATACCACAATAAATCCTTCCCTGATTCCCCCCAATGTGTTATGTCCAACCTCTGAACTCCAATAAGACTTTATCTGTATTTCTCTCAGGGCACCTATCACACATTCTACCATGTATTTTACATAGCTATTTGTTGACATGTCTTATTTCCTTTTCTGAAAGGAGCTATAAGCTCCTTTGGTTTGGGAAATATGTTTTATCTCCTTGTTTCTATTTGAAGGCTATACAGTGTCCTCCCAATAGCAGGAGCTCCACAACTGGAAAATTAATTAAACTGATTATTATCAATTGGATTCTATCCACTGATAGAACAAAAGTATTTCTTTTATTTCTGGATCAAGTTATAAAGCAGAATGCAGAATTCTTTGGACTAAAATGATGACAAATGGAGAATAAGAAAGATCAGGAACAACCAAAATTAAAAACGGCCAAACAGACAGAGAAGGAAATCATAATGACAGAAGTGGATTGAGATCAGTTTAATTACAGGGAGGAGAAATAAATATTAGACAAGCTGGGAGGTGAAAGAGGATAAAGTTGCCATTTAGGAGACTCAGATTATTATAAATATTGTAATTAAACTAGAATCTTTTCCTGGGGAGACTTAAAAGAGCAAACAAAAAAGGAATATACTTAGACAAATAAAATGGGGAATATATTAGACAGGATTTTCAAGCTGCTTTGCAAAACCACTCAGATTATTTTTGTTTACAAAGCATAGGGCCTGAAATTTGTTTTATTCCCCAGTAATGGAAAGAGTTAAAAGCTCTAAAATTACCATTTTTCTTTAACCCTCTGCTGGGTTTTCTTCCTGAGAAACTACTTGCTTGTCTGTAAGCTGAACACAGCCATAACAATGAGCTCTTAGAAGGCTAATATGTTACGTACTTCTAATTTTTCTGCCTTTGTAACTACATGATGGGTTAGGGAGTGCAGAGGTGAGTGTCTGGATCCTAATTCACTTTCCTATGACAATTGTCCTTAATTTGCAAATATTTCTCTTCCAGCTGTGCATTATTCAATTTCAGTTCCAAATCGGTCACTTTGTAACTGAATGGTTTTGTGCCAGTTATGAATTTAAGTTTCAAGAAAGTTTGGACCTTGTTTTTGTTCACTGCACTATCCCCAGCTCTTAGGGAAATTTCTGGAACATAATAGGCATTTGATAATTATTCATTTAGTAAATGATTGAATTGCTCTGTGCTTCTGATTTTGCACCTTTTTAAGATTAAATGGGATAAAATATGTAAATTTCCTAGCATGGAGTATATAACAAATAAATATTAATTGTTCCTTTCCCCCACTAACTAAAGAATAAGGATTCATCCAAGGCCACATGAGTATTGTTGAAAAAGTGGATTGGAATCCAAATGACTGCATACTTCAAATCTCTCTGGATATATCCTAAACAAGCACAGCAATTCTCACATTATGGGGAAAGAGTGTTATTTAGACCTAACTCTTTGAAAGCCAGAGATATCAAGTGTAAAATGCATCCAAGGATGCATATTTTCCAGTTTATGTGTGAGAGAAATAAAAAAAAAAGAGAGAGAGAGAGAGAGGCAGGAAGAAGGGGAAAGTGTAGAGTGGCCAAGTGAAAAAGAGAAAGAGATACACTCTCCTCTCCCAGGCCCTCCTCATCTTCCCCCCACCCCCTCCCACTTTTCAGATTTATTGTTTAAACATTCTATTCTGCAAAAGAAGGAGCAGGCAGCTCCTTTAGCTGTAATCATTCTCTTTCAATATTTACATGAATACATGAGAACTCAAGCAAATGTCCAAAGCAATCACTCCCTAACTCAGAACCTGTGTGCACATAGGTTCACACAGACACGCATGTACAACTAGTAGCCACCCTATGCTAAGGAGACATGAAAACATGATTTAGATACTAGTGAGAGACTAGTACATCCTTCCCACCCTAGAATAGTAGCAAGGGGTACCCTGATTTAAAACTTTGCTTTCCACAGCTGAAGCAAATAATTTATTTTATCTTGTATGTGAGTGGAAGATAGTTTCCCGTAATACTGCAGTAAAAAAATAAAGAGCAAAGCAAAGACTTGCTGTATTCCTGTCTGGATCACATTGTTTCCAGTTATGAAACTGATGACCTTATAACCTTATAAACCTCCTGTTGCAGCTAAGGAAGGTGTGTGTGTATGTATACATGTCTCAAGGAAGACTTATGATTACAGAAAAAAAAAACCAGTTTTCTTAACTTTCTCTTCAAAATGGAACAGAGAATATCCTAGTTTGTGAAACATAAGTTTATGTATCTTAGTAAGAAATATAATAATGTAATTTTCTAAACAGTTCATTGCTAGGCACAAAAGTCCACACACCATAGGCAACAAAGACATGGGAACACTTTTAAACTTTGGACTTTTAATTCTCTTCTTCCTACCCCATATCTCAATGGCAGATCTAAATAGACTGAAGACTCCAACCCCTGATGTAACAGTGGATAGAGTTTTTATGTGAAACCTGTGAAAGAACTTTGTCCCTCTTTTCTTTGGTTCAAAGTGCATAAAAATCCTTTGTAAAACAAAGGTGAGGCTATTTTAGTAGAAAGCGTTTACAACCCAAGAATTCCCAAGCTGCTTGGAAATGTTGCATCTCTGAGTCAGAATGTATGGGTGCATGGTTGTCTGGAATTAAAGATGGCATTTTTTTTTATACCAATGATTATACATTCACTTTATAACTGTGAGAAAGTCTAACAATCTGATTTTAAGGATCTGGTAACTAACTCACCCTTCTTGTTTAAGCTATCAAGTTCTAAGAGATTATATCTTGGGACAAGAGTTTGCATCTTACCTGTTCAGGGTTTTGTACTATATATCTCCTAATAGTGGTCTGTGGATATGTAGTGACTTTCACCGTTGGAGAATGGAGTTCCTGTGAAGAAAAGATAAAAGCTGCATATAATCATAGTTATTTAGTGACCTCGGAATCATCAATAATAATAGGGAACAATTTTCAGAGTGAAACTTTTAGAGTCATTTGCATGAAAGGTGACATATGATGTTATGATTTGATTTCAGTCTCAGAAACATATGAAAGCATGTGTTGTGTGCTTAACACTGTGCTAGGTACTTGTATTATACTCATTTCATAGCATTTCATCACATTTCCTAAACTGTATTTTATGAGAATTTCAAAATATTTGTTTCACTGTGAATGTCACCACATGATTAGAAGAAAATATAGCTTAATATTTATTAAATGTTTGGTTTAGAAAGGATGTCCTACATTTAAAAAAATGGAAGGAGACACAACAAGAAAAATGTGTGTGTGTGTGCTGAAACATTTAAATCTTCAGTGTGTTAGAAGGAGAGGGATATAAATAACATTAAAAGGAAGACAAAACACTAGAACCAACTCATTTGTAAACTTTTGATGGAAAAAGTGTCAATATCATTAATACATAAGAAAAAAGATCCTCACAGTAACAGAAAAATGACATGAACAATTTATAAAAGAAGAAAAGCAAATGGTTAATAAACTTAACAAAAAGTATTCAACCAAACTAGAAATCAAAAATGTTTGTTGAATAAATGCATGACTCTAATTGACCTGGCTCTAGTCTAAGCCAAATTGGGAAGTGGTAAGGAAAATTTTATCAATAATCTTCTTATTCGTTCTGCATAACATCACATTTTCCTTACTGAAAGTGTAGAGACCAGTTTTTGTCCATTTATCTCCTCACTGTCTGAGTTCACAGACTGACACCTCATCTGGGTGAAACTGTTTCCTTAAAATACCATCTCTCTCCCTCCTATCCTCTAAATCCCACACCGCCTACACTCCCCTGCCATGTAATCACAAACTTAGAGTATTTATGTTTTGTTTCCCTAGAATTTACTTTTTGATATATAGCAACTAGATAGTTAATTAAAATAGGTAATTAATATTTGTTAATATGGTATTTAATTACTATTACAGATGTCTTTCAAACATACAATTGCCTACATTCAAGAATGATCCTAAAAGTGGGTTTATAAGGCCATAAAGGCTAAGGAGATAGACCCTTGTGTGTCTTTCAAATCATACACCTATGAGAAGGGCTAGATCTGACCCTATATCAGAATGTAAACTTATAGTACTATCGCTCACAAAGTCATGTCCTCAATCAATCCAAGATCTAGGCACTTTATTTGGGCTGTAATCAAGGAGCCTTAAAATATCCATAATTCACTAGAATATCCTTGGCTAAAATTAAATTGCACTGAAACTAAAGCAATCAGATTGAGTAGGCAATGAAACTGAAAAATCTGATTCATAGTGTTTGTTTCACATCCTTTTAATGGGTTGAGCTGATTCCTATGTGTGAGAATCCCCTTTCTTGTTTTATGGTCCTGAAATTTTGTGAATGTGTAAAGTCTTACGAGGTCCTAAAGATTGCTTACACATATGAATAAAACTTAAATAAAAGGAAGAGAAATGGATCTAGTCTAATCTACAACTTCTTTTTACCTGTTCAGTATTCTGGGTTATATGTAGAGTGCTTGGGACACAAGTAGATATTTTCAGAGTTGGTGAATGGAGTTCCTATTAAGAGAAACAAAAGAAGGTGCAGAAATTGTGACTGAGCAGTGTCATTTGAAAGTCTTAAGTTCTTGAGGGATTATTTCCTTTATTTTTACAATAACCCAACTGGTCAGAAATAAGAGCATTACTTAGTGCTTTCTTAGATGTCCAGCTTTCCAAAGAGCTGAATTACTTTGTCAGCTTTGCAAGAAGCCTGATGATAAAATAGTTTCTAGAGTGTTTTCATAGCAATAAATTCTCATTGTACTGTTAGGTTGCATTTTTCCCCCTTCTTTGAGAACTCTGCCAATATACACCCCAATGTTATTATATGTCTGCAAGTAACAAGATGCAAAATTTCGTCAAACAAAAACATTAAACGTAAAAATTCTCAAACCTATATAAGAAACTACTTGTGAGAACTTGACTAAGATTATTGCCCTTAGATTACTTCAAGCTGACTCTTAATTATGTTTATCTGATCTGCTTCTTGTTTGATTTCAAAGAGTAGACTCTGCTGTTAAAAAAAAATCCATAAAAGTGAAAGAATGTGATTCTTAATAGCGATTACATAAAACAATCACTTTATCCATTATGCTGGCATTGTTTACATTTTTTCCCAAATCAGCACAACTCCAGAACTCATGCTTTTAATCACTATACTTTGCAACATCTATAGCTTGCCTCATTATGTTTTCTGTTTTTTTCAGGTTGTGGAACCTAATTATAAGGTTAGGTTCAACTAGTCCTTATAACAGGAGGCTAAATATTGGTCTTTTTTTTATTATTTACTGTCAAAACAGGTTTTGGATGCCTGAAAACGGAGAGACCTACCCAAAAATGACTGTGTGAGAGGGCAGCCCCGATTAAATAATTTAAGCTTCCATAAATTCAGTAGGAGTTGTTTATAGAATGCATGATATATGTACAGGGTGTAAAACTCAATAAAACATCGAATTTTTATTTAATTTGCATCATCTAAGCCCTTCAATTTTGCAGGGAGACTGTACCTTTTCTGATAAAATACTCAGCATATTACCTAGTCATTTATTCCTGTGGCTCAGAACTGCTAAATACATGAACATCACCTTGTTGGCAATTTTCTTTAGGTAAAGTTCTGGTGAAAAAGAATTTTGTTTACAATTATGTGAGCTCAGACTAGGCATAAAATCCAGGCCTGTTTTTCCTGTGCTGCTTCAAGTAATAATTTTCAACTTTGGGAAATTTGTAACAGGTCGCTTCCTCCTCCTCCTCCTTTACTTTTTATGAAGTACATATGGCATTACCAATTTAAGATCAGAGTAAATTAAAATCAGTCTGCTTTTTGGGATAATTTCACCACATCACTTGAGATAATTGTCTATATTTTAGAATACCCTAAATCAGAGCTGGGAAACTCTGGTTTCCCTAAGGAATTCACTGTTCATAAAAACGTATCTTATTTCCAACTGTTAAAATAGCTATGTTTTTCAGAGTTAAATCAAAAGAAGTGCAAATGGCCCAAATTTCTCAGTTATTTACCTTAAGGAGAGTGCTTTAGAGTAGCTCAGTGCAGTGGAGAAAGAATTGAATGCAGAAGCTGAAGAGGTGTTATTCTCCATTAGGTATTTAAAAACCCCATAAAAACTTAGGATATACTCTGAATTCCAGCATTATTTCAGGTCAAGACCTTGAAAATCAGAACAGAAACTACTTTGTCCTTTAATATATTTTTGATATGTTCCATTCTGATGATGGAACATTAGAACATTAGAATGAAACATTAAAATGGGAAACATGTAGTTATCATCAAGTGATATGCTGAAATCAAAAAATATAAACGTCTTTAAGCTTGAAAACATTTTAATATCTAACTGAGGGTAATTAAGGGAGACAGCTAGCTGGTGTAGTGGAAATATCAGGAGGTGATTTCTAAACTCAGGACATTCATTAACTAGCTGTGCTAACTTGGACAAGTTTATTTGAGCTATTAGAGCCTTGGTTTCTTTATTTGTATAACAGAGAAATAATATACAACGCATATTGTCTTTATTTGTACAATATGAAATTTGTACAGTGTAATGCTTTTTCTATTTACTTTTTGGAGTTCTAGTGAGTAAATAATTATATGAAAGAATTTTGAAAAATAAAAAACACCATCTATTAATGAGACATTATTTTTATTGTATTGGTTATATATGTGACAAGTACTAACTTGTACTTTTTCACTACTTATGTAATAGCATTGAGAGAGATGTAAAGGATGGATAAAATATAATCTTCACACTCATCAAGGTTATAATCAGGTAGAGGATAAAAACTGATTAGAAGTAAGAATTAAGTAGAGTACCATAAGAGTTATAAGGAGTTTATACTATGGGAGTTTTGAGGGCTGAGAGATAACTTCAACTTGGGATAATCAGAGATTGGATCACAAGGTTACACTTGAGGGAAGTTTTTAAAAATTGGTGTAATTTCAGCATGTTCAGATTGGTGAGGGTGGGAGATACGGACATTTCAGGTGTGAGAGCAACATGAGTGAAAGACATAGCTGTGGAAAATTAGGGGCTATATTTAGAGAACAATGGTTTACATTTGGGCTGAAAACATAGGACACTAGAAGGGGATTTCTGGGAAGTAAGGTCCGTAGGAGCCAGATTATGGAGGTCCTTGAAAGTCAGACTAAGAAATCGATAGACTCTGGGTGTCATTGAAGGTTTTTTGGGCAGAGGAGTGATATGAGGTGCTTGTAGGGAATTTAAGCAACTTTTCTAGAGAACATATTCTTAGGTATAATTAGATTTGTCAGCAATTTAAAATAATTCTATGCAGGAAGCTATGCATTCAAGCTGAGGTCTATGTTAGAAGAGAAATGGGTGAATACTATGCTTGAGATAAAAATCTTTCCTTGGACAGTTCTAAATGTGTTTTGGTGTGTGGATGAGTACTGAACAGTGTAGAAGTTGTTACAAAGGAATCTCTAGGCACATACGTGACATGCTAAACCACTTAAGAGTAACTGAGTAAGATTCAATAAACAAAAGCACTTCACCAAGACAGAATTTCAGCAGCATTGATGTTGGAGGGAGTATCTCTATAAGCACATGAATTAGCAGCTTCAAAATAATTTGGTTAAACGAAGTATCACAACAAGATTCCAAGGAAATGATGTAATGACAGATCAGAGTAGCAACCCCTCTAACAACATTTGCCTAATAAGTAATGATAAATAATAGTCCACAGGGAAAAAAAGTATAATCCAAATACTAACAAGTAAAATTCAGATGCTTAATGGGGTCCAAGAACTAGAAAAGAAAACTAATGCACTTATTAAATAGCTTCCTTATGTTTATGTGTTGTTCGCATTTTCAAAAAAGGCAATTTGTGTCTTACTTTCCATTTTCAGTTCAAAGAGAGGGCATAGAGTGAAACCCACAAACAATCTCAGTTAAGTTGTGTATTTTTATTAAAGCCACTGCTGGTAGCCATCATAAGGCATTTTTGGAAGCCATAATTGCAGAAAGAGAGGGGGGGGGGGGAACCCGGCATATAGTTTCCAGTTCCATTCTATTTTCCAAAACATTTATTTTGATTTGTCTTTGAATTTTGATTTAAAGAAAAAAATCTCAACCCTCAAGAAGTGTATAATTCATGGCAGTGAGAAAGAATGACCACAGAAGTATTACACTCAGTATTATATGTATCTGCGTCGTCTTATAGGGAATGGAATAAACAAAGGCAGGGGTGGGGAGGGAGGCAAAATGCTCAGTTTATTCAAGAAACAGAGAGCAGTACAGTATGTCTGGAACACAAGATGGGAGGAGGTGGGTAGTGGGAGACAGACTGTAAATTAGGATGGGTCCTAAAAGGGCCCTTCAGTATCATCAAAGTGAGGATTTTGAACCTAACTTTGGATTCTGATTATCAACATTTTTTAAAAGTTTCAATTACAAATCAAATGCCATTTTATTGTTGAGATCATAAATTTCATAATAAGGTACAAACAGATTTTATTTCTTCATAATATTTCCATCAAAGTCTCCCAATGCATTTCTGACACTAAACAGCTAAAAAGTAATCAACTCATTACCCAGTGCTGGAGCATTGTATATTTTGATATAAAACAATCAATAAAATTTATGAGAAAAATATAAAAAAAGAATTCTGAAGAACAAAAAATATATACCTCCTTGGTAAACAACATAATATTTTAAAAGCATTGAAATGTTTATTTACATTATCTATTTATGTCCCAGTTCACATCCAGAAAAATTTTATCTGGTTCATAATGGGAGCACATACAAGAAAATGGTCGTGAAATACAGTAATAAATCAGATATCAGAGACTGTAATGTAAATAAGAGTTAAATGTGTAGACCAGGAATATACACCAAAGCATAGTGATTACAAGCGTAGACCTGGAACTAGACTGCTCTATTTAAATCCCAGTTCTACAATATACTAGCTGAATGAACTTGGGTAAATCACCTAACATCTCTGTGCCTTGGTTACCTCATTTGTAAAAATGGGAATGATATTGAGCTTTTACTTACTATAAAGTTCAAAATTAATTCAGTAGGTTAAGTAAGAGGGGAGTAAGAGGCAGTCCCAGAGAGGCTATGAAACCCAGATCATGTGCCCAAAAGAAAGAAAGATGCATTTTTACTGGGGAGGGAGTGGTATTTTCATCTTTTTCCCCTTTTTAACCTTGCTCTTTCAAAAAGTGGACTTCTGGGAAAAAATTATATAGATAAAACAATAGACGTGTGCATACATACATAAATCCTTCATTCAGCTCTTCTCTTAAAGGTTTATGAATTCAATTCTCCTTCTACTGAAATAGTCACTCTAAACTTACACTTTGAGGGGCTGTGGCTTCATTTTTTGTTTCCTTCCTATGTGCCCATTACACATTGATCACACGTTTGTACCACTACAAATTTCATTTAATGTAATGATTTTAGGAGTATTACTATATCAAAATAATGAGCAGTTTGAATGTGTAGAGCTGCAGTGTCCAGTAGAACTCTCTGCAATAATGG